TCTTCTTCTTCTTCTTCTTCTTCCTCCTCCTCCTCCTCCCTACCTCCTTATGGTCAACTAATAGTTTTTGCTTGGCATTAGGGTTCCCCCTCAATTTTAGTTTAAAGCCCTTCTGATAAGAAAAGCCAGTTGTTATCCGAATATATTCTTTCCAGTTCCTGTGAGGTTCACAATAGCCCTTGTCAGTAGCCCTTCGTGTAGGTCAGGGGTGTCCAAACTTGGGAACTTTAAGACTTGTGGACTTCAACTCATGCTGACAACAACATGCTGGTTGGGGAATTCTAGGAGTTTAAGTCCACAAGTTCCCAGGTTTGGACACCCCTGATGTAGGTAATGTAGACCAGGGTCTAGAAAGCAAAAGTTCTCCTGACAGCAGCTGTTTTTAAGCCAGTGGTTCATTTCTAAAATCCTTTGCTCCCTCATTGGAAGTTGACCTTTTGTTGGAAGTATAGCTGAAAACACCACTTGAGCTCCTAATTCTTTAACTTTCTTCCCTAGCTGTTGGTAATCTCTTGTTACTGTTTCAGATTCGTTGTTGTGCCATTAGTCCCCATGTGTAAGGGAAGAAAGGGGTAGTAATCCTTTAGGAAGGTTCTCAGTTACATCTTTGATTTTTGCTCCAGGGAGACAGTATTCCTCCCAAGATGGGCTGTTCGTTCTGCAGACTATAGTTTCTGTTCCCCTAACAATTGAATCTCCTTATCACCAATATTCACCTTTTTTTCCTTAGGGAAATCTAGGATACTGGGTTGTGCCTCTTTTTTAGAAACTATTGATGACTGCTCTTTTGTGGCTGTCTGCATATTTATTTCCTGCATTTCGGTTAATATTTTTTCACCCCAGGTGAATATGAAAGCTTCACTAAAGCACGGCTTCCTGGCGAGAAACCAGTCATCACGCGACCTCCAATGCGACCCCCAGATCCTCCCTGCAAAGCTCCTGTGCCACAGAAGGTGGAGGCCAAGGCAGACCTGGCAGTGGGAACAGCAGCAGAAGCCCCCTCTTCAGTGTGAGTAGGGGCAGAGGGTCCAGCCCTCCAGCTGAGTCAGATGGCAACTCTCCTGCCCCAACCCCCAATGATTGCCATTTTGGCTGGGGAACTCCAGGGGAAGGATATTGCAAAATCCCCATTTCCTCCCCAATCCAGGGGAAGGATACTGCAAAATCTCCATTCCCACCCCACTCTGGGATCAGCCAGTATTTGCCGGTTCTCTGAGTTACTCAAAATTTCTGCTACCGGTTCTCCAGGAGAGAGAACTGGTAGCGGGAATTTCTATAAATAGAGGTTTCTATAAAGGTTATAGAGGTTTCTATAACTGAGGACAGACTGGTCCTCTCCAGTTCTCCTACTTCTGTCAGCTGAACTGCAACTTCTGTTATTATAGTGGAGACTTACATGAGTTTTGTATATCTTTATCCCTGATTATATACAACAGCTTCTGAGGACTTGTTAAACACTGCCCTTTATACTTCCAAGCAGAATTTGGCAGTCATAAGGACTAGAAACCTAGGTACTTACTTGTGTTCTCTCATATCTTTCTATCTGTCCAGCTTCAGTTAATGGAAATTTGCTTCCTTGATCTCAGGCTCTTTTTGACTGAACAGCTATATTGCTACCACAAAGTAAAGAGGCTGTTTGTGCTGCTTGCTTTTCAGGGTGGCGTCCAGGGCAAAGTTCTTTGAGACAGCTTCCTTCAGGAGAACAAGGTAAGAGCAGGAAAGGTTTGCCTTGGGACACATGGTTGGCATTCTGAAAAGCTGGTGAATCATGCAGTCTTCAGATTTTGCCCATGGATCAGTGATGAAATTCAAATTTTTTTTTTACTACCGGTTCTGTGGGCCTAGCCTGATGGGCACGGTAGGGGAAGGATACGATAAAATCTCCATTCCCTCCCCACTCCAGGTGAAGGATATTGCAAAATCCCCATTCCCTTCCCATCCAGGGGAAGGATACTGTAAAATCTCCATTCCCTCCCCACTCCAGACCTCCAGTCAGAGTCCAGTCAGAGGTGACATTTGCCAGTTCTCCAAACTACTCAAAGTTTCTGCTACCAGTTCTCCAGAACCTGCTGAATTTTACCCCTGCCATGGATGGTTGGGACATTTATCCCAAATACATCCCCTCTTCGTAGAGAGGTGCTTTCCAGATGCCTGAGAGTAGAAAAGACTGGCAGATGTTTTGTGAGATTTCTGGGGAAGAGATGGGGAACTGAAGATGGCTCAGTTGAGAGTGGAGCCGATGACTGCAGAAGAATGAAGAGCCAGCGAGTAGGACAAGGAGAGGCCTTGAGATTACCCACAACTGCTCCAGACAGTTGCTCCCAGCTAGGAGACTGTAAAACTGCAAGGTCTCCAGTGGGTTTACAGCTCTGGGGAATGAGGGAACCTTGCCCAAATCACAGTTGGCACCTCAAATACTTCCTTTCCTAATCATTTTTCAAAATGGCTTGTTAATTACTCTTCAGCTATTAGGTAACTTGGGAATAAAATTACTATTACAAAAAAAAAGGCCTGCCAAATTCTGCCCCATAAAGTGTCCCACTGGCCCCTGAGGGCCTTGAGGGTTGCTTGGCTTGGCAATAGCAGAGCTTTTCAGACGGGTGGGTTTTAGCCAGTGTTACTGTCGGTTCGCTCGTGGGCATGCTGGATGCGTGTTGCGTGCCCATGTGCAGTTCAATAGAAATTGTTCTGTGCATGCGCAAAACTCAAGAACAAGATGGCAACGGTGACTGGGGAACTGGTTCGGAGATGTGGCCAGACTGGGTCTCTCCCGGTTCTACAACCCAAGCCGGCATGCCACTACCTGTTCGGCTGAACCAGGCCGAACCGGTAGGAACCCACCACTCTTTTCAGGGCTCTTTTTGTCTTTCTGACTGATAGAGGAAATGATCAAGCTGAGCCTGAGGGAGGGGGTCAAGTGCTTCACCAGTCTCGAGTCCCTCTGTGCCCACAAAAGATCGAAGTCCAAACCCATCTTGAATTCCATTGACCCTTATCCACCGCCACTTTGCTTTGATTGTTAGATTCTTGTAGATCCTGTGAGCATGCAACAAAGCTTGAGTTCATTTGAATTGCTCCAGCTTCTGATTTCCTGTGCTGGACAGCTGGCCTCTTGAACGGCCATAACCCCCCTTTCCTATCGCCCAAATCCTTCATCTCCTGGGCAGGAAGAGTCATTGAAGTTGGCATTGCAGGCTCAGGGTCAGCAGTATTTTAATCATGAGTTATAAAATAATTCTTATCAATTGTTTGATAGTCAATTGGAATTGCTGAATCTTGCAAGCTTGAGCCTCCAATCTCTTGCAGCATCCTGACCTTTGCAAATATCCTAAAATTCCAGGCATTGTTTTTCAGCATTGAATATATTAGGGTGCTGTATTACCAGTCCCTGTGGGTGGGTTGAGCTGACAGAGATGGGGTCTCTGTGAATGAGGGGAAATGAGAACTGGGCCTCTCCACTCCTAGTCCAGCACTTAAGCCACCACACCACACTGGCCCTCTAGTTACTGCATTTTTTTTTGGCGTATAAGGTGAAAAATCTGGGTGTGTCTTATACACTGAATACAGCATTTTTGACATCCTGAAACTCCGCCCCTTCACAAAAATGGATGTGCAGTGGTTTTGGGAGGCCTGCAACATGCTCCTGGGAGCTGGGGAGGACAAAAATGAGCAAACAACAGTCCCCCAGCCCCCAGGAGCAATTTCACAAAAAATGAGGCATGCAGAGAGTTTGGGAGGTTTAAAAACTTTTACCTCTTCAAAATCTTGGAGTGTCTTATATTCCGCTGTGTCTTATACTCTGAAAAATACGGTAACTCCAGTTCAGCCTGACTGATAGAGATACAGCTGCACTCCTGCTTTATCCCTTGTTGTTTTCCTTACTGCTTCACTTCTTTTGCAGTTCTTCCTGTCCCCAGGGCAGATCCCCAAATGAGGAGGGATGAAAGGCCCCAGGTAATTCTGCCATTTATTTTCTGATTTCTTAAGAACCTGAATGCTGGGGGTATTCGGGGGGGGGGGGGCAGTTGCAGAAACCTCCTGTGGGGGGGATTCCCCTCTTGGCTGCAGCTCCAGCAAGCCAACTGGCGCGCGTTGTGTTTTCACATCCTTCACTTTTGTTTTACTCCCTGTGTTTCTTTCCTTCCCAGTCTTCTGCATGGCTGAGCCTGGATCACGGATTTGCAACACACGGCGTGTTGCTCTGTAAATCAGCTCTTTCCAACCCCGCCTTTCAGCATGCCGTCGTGAACATCTTGCAATGTTGTAAGAGAAGCAGAGACATCCTTGGGAGGGACCATAGTTCCACCTGCTACTGTAAGAGTTCAAAAAGACAGAGCAACAATCGGGCCTTCCGCTCCTTCTCCTCCTCCTCTTCAGAAAGTGCTGCTTTCCCCATGAAGCGTTTGGTAGCAGCTGACTTGGAGCAGCCAAAGAGGGGCCCATCGGGAGGGGAGGCCCGTCCACCACCTCTGGCCTCTTTTGGGGTCCCTCTTGAAGAGCTGCTACCTGGATCTAGGAACTGGGCTGCAAGCAGCTTCTGTGCCACAGAAGTTTTCTGGCTGGGTGGCTCCAAATGTATCACATTGTGTTGTTTTTTTTTCTTTTCAAAAACTGAGATTTTGTGCCCCCGCCGTATGGAGGGCAGGCATGGGGTTAGCTATTAACTCATAAAAGGCTGAAAACATTCCCAGTAAGACCTCCACACCTCTTATTGGTTGTGCTTGCACAACCAGCCAATACTCCGGAGCGTGAATGGCAGGAGGAAGGATTTTGAAGCCAGATGCTCCAGCCCCCCAAAGGGAAATGGTACCGAAATTGGAAGTAGAAACCCCAATGGTGCCCCTCTGTGAGGCTAGTTTCCCTTAAAGTCCAAAGCAGCTTCAGGACATTCCAGGTAGTTTCATCTTTTGCCAGACCACATTCCGCTCTCCCACCTTGACCTATTTCCTCCCCAAAGGGCCCTTCCTGCTTGCCGTAGAGTGAGATGAGAGCCTGCATTTAGATCTGCTTTTATTCAACCGGCAGCCAAAGGAAGAAAGAGATGCTGTGGTTGTAGTTGTGTGCCTGCCTGCCTGCCTGCCTGCCTGCTTGTGCTTGTGTGCACGTCTCTCTGCCTCAGGCATCTGACAGCTTCTGTAGCTCCACTTTGGATCCCTGCAGAGTCTCTGGACAGGCCCCTCTCCAGGATTCCCCATTCCACAAACTGGCAATTGGTTCTTTCCTAGAAACTTGGATAAAGCACTTACCTGAATACTTTTGCACCAGAGGTTTCAGTTCAACTTGTAAATGTCTCTGAGGACCAGGGTAGAAACCCTCCAGCTAGCACATTTTAGCCATGCTTTGCAGATGCAAGAAATAAATGAACTTTTGAGAGTGGCCCGGGATTGGCAGATTTCGGGCCCGTTCATTTGTCTTTAGAAATAAGCTTGATACTTGTACCACCCACCACACTCCCAATGTACCACCAGATAAATAATTATTTCCACAGAAGTCGTCAGGAAATGCCATATTGATATTTAACATGCCTTGAGGGGTAAAGAAAGTGATGTATATGCTTTCTTCCTATGTTTTTGTTACTGGTGCCATCCAACGCTCATTTGAACTCCCCAAAGTTGCTGATCAAATACAGAAGATTGTTCATCCTGTGAAGTCTTAGTTCTTAACCACCAGTATAAGTTGGACAGAGTAACTGAAGATTGATTGAGGGATATGAAAACGCCCACGTCTCCCTGGCAGCCTTGTCAGACCAATCCTGGGGCCACAGATCTTTGCACATTGAGTAGTGAGAGGTTACAGTGACCTCCAGGAAGTCCAGGTGTTGGGCGAACGTCAATCTCTGTCGATCTATGTTTCCCAGGAATCCATTCATGGATTATGCCGATACCATTGATTTCTACTGTGGGAAATGACTGGTGGGGGGAGGCATTCAAGATGTGATCGATTCCAGAGAGTAGAAGCTGAGACAGGAAAGGAAGTTCTGAAATTGAATGTTTGCCATTTCTTTCTGCAGTAAGGGGGGAGGGGGTACTCAGCTCCCAAACGATTGTGTGGTGCTTCCATGTGAAATGGGTACCTCTCTCATCAAACCTGCTTTCGTTATAAGCTAAAGATGTCCAGCAATTCAGCTCTCTCTGTTTTGTGAATTTATAGGCAATTAAAGTAATTTCCACCTGGTGTACTTGCCTGGTAAAAGAAGTAGATTAGTTGTAATAATGTTTATAACGTTTCCATGGATTAAAAAAAATCCACCTGATTACTCTTGACTGTAGTTTTTGAACTTGTGTGAACTTTATTCGTAGAATAGTAAAGTCAGCTTGCAAAATATAACATGACTGGTCACATCCAACATTAGACAGAGGAGGAAGACCACTTGCTCATTGCAAGAGTTGGAGTTAGGGTCACATGCACACGAGTTACAAAAGGTTGCAGTCCACTTGCTTTAGAGTTCCTTTAGAGGAGCTGGCCTGTATGACTTTCTTCTTTGGAGTTAATACGGACATATCACTTTGTTGGCATGGATGAAAAGCCAACCTATTTGCAGGGGGCCATGTTCTGTTGATGACAGCAGCCAGTGATTTGTTTCTAAAATCCTTTGCTCCTTCATTGGATGTTGGCCTTTTGATGGAAATATAGATGAAAAGACCACTTGTGCTCCTAATTATTTAACTTTCTTCCCTCTTGATATTGTTTTCAGATTCATTGTTGTGTCGTTGATGGCTTTTGATACCATCAACTGTGGTATCCTTTTGGGTTGACTTATGGAGTTGGAGGCAGGTGGCACAGTCACCTCCCTCTGAGGCCAGTCCCAAATGGTTTATTTATTTATTTATTAAATTTTGTATGCCGCCCACTCTCAAAAGAGACTCAGTGGTATGGTGGTAATAGAGGCAAGGTTATTTCTTTCTGGGGTGCCACGGGGCTCTTTACTCCAGTCACTTTTAACAGCTACCTGAACCTGCACAAGGCAAGGTATCACCAATAACCCAATGATACCCAGCTATGTATCTCGATCCCAGGTGAAGGGAGAGATGCAGTGGACACCTTTAATGGTGTCTGAAGGCAGTGGGAGTCTGGATGGGGAACAGCTGTCTTCAACTGAGCCTGGTAACGTGGAGTGACCGTGGGTGGGCCTCTCTGGGTCTGGGAGTTTACCATCTTTGCTCCTGGATGGGGTTGTACTACCCCAGACTGACCTGGCGCATAAATTGGGGGACCTCTTGGTCTAAGGGCTCCTGCTGAAAAAGCAGATGGCAGCCATGGCCAGGATGGTCTTTGCCCAACTTTGCATTGTATGCCAATTATGCCCCTTCCTGGACAGGGAGGCCCTTTACTCGGTCACCTGTGCCCTGGGCATCTCCTGATTGGACTCCTGCAATGCGCTCTACATGGGGCTACCCTTGAAATGGATCCAGAAGCTTCAACCTCTGCAGAACGCAGCTGTGCCACCTAGACTCGGTGCCCAAAGAAGGGAACATATAGCACTCTGCTCCATGAACTGCACTGGGTGCCAGTTTGGTTCCGGGTCTAATTCAAGGTATCGGTTATTATCTATAGGACCAGGCTACCTACGGAGCCAGCTTTGCCCCATCACATCCCCCCTTCCCACTTGATCAGGAAGGGGAGGTGGCAGAGCCTACCAGCCAAGGAATTTCGACTGGTAGGGTCTAGGGAGAGGGCCTTTCTGCCCCTGCATTGGGGAACTTCCTGCCCACAGAAGTGAGGAAAGCTCCCAAATGTGGAGAAAGTTCCATATTGGAACTCTCCATCTTTTGAAATTTTATCATGTTCTATAATTTTTTTTAAAAAAAATCATAAATTATTCTGTTTTTAATGCGTAATTTTATTGATTAAATTATACACAGACCAAAGCCCCTCTCTGAGGGAAACAGGTGGTTAAGAAGTATGAAATATAAGTAAATAAATGAGTAAATAAATAAATAAGTAAATCCTGCTGCCTTAAGGAAGTTCAAAACATTCTTAAAGACCCATCTCATCCTGGGCACCCTCCTTTTTTTGAACTATTACCATCTGGCAGACGGTACAGGATAATAAAAACAAGAACAAATAGGCTAAAAAACAGCTTCTGTCCCAGGGCAATAACCATATTGGATTCTATGGTATAGCGGAATATCAGTTTTCAATTTCAATTATATAGAAAGTAAAGGATGTGTGTTTGTGTTTTTATTTTTATAGTTATAATGTACACTGAAGACGGCATTTAATTTTGTTGTACCATGTCCAATGACAATAAAGTAAAGTAAGTAAGTAACTAGGTCAAAAGTGAGGAGGGGCTTCATTCAGACCCATCAGCTGACTGCATTGGCAGCATTTGGGTTGCACCATTGAGCTGAAGCCTGTGTGGGGAACAGCAAAGCAAAGGCGCCTGGGCAGCCATTGCAAAATGGGTCCTTCCTGCTCCGACCAACCCTTGGTCAGCCATCTTGGCCTGGCTTCTCCAGGGAAAGTTGGGAAGAACGCCTTGATGGGTCCTAAGGGCAGGCCATGGGCTGCCGGCCTCCAGTTATTTAATTCTAGTGCTTGCAGAAGTGGTGAGATTCAAATAATTTAACAACCAGTTCTTTGCCCTAATGACCCAGCTGGGTAATTGAGGCTTGGTGGTCATGTGACTAGACGGGCGTGGCCAACTCAACATCACTCAGGTCGATGGGCACTTCACCTTAGCTGTTACAGTGTCATAAGGGTTAACCAGAAAGGCAGTTTCTGTAAGCAGGGCAATAAAGATTAGGCTAGAAACAACACCAGAATGTTCCCTTCCTTCCTGCCTTCCTTACAGGATTAATTCTGTAAAGTGGGGAAAAAAACAAAAGGAGATTTCTTCCAACAACCGGTTCTCTGAACTGCTTAGGAAGTTAACAACTAGTTCTCCCGAATAGGTGCAAACTGGCTGAGTCCCACCACTGTGTAGCATCAATGGTAACAAAACTCCATAGCAACATTGGGGTGGGCCATGCGTGCTCCTTGGAAAAAACAGAAGGACCCCATTAATTGTTGTTTATCGGAAAGATTCTACTTGTGCTTACACCAGAAAAAAGCAACCAGAAAGTTTATGCATCACATTAAGCCATAAAATAGATGTTTATTTTGGTCCATGTGATGCATAAAGCCAACCATTGTGACTTAGCTTTGCACACACTTGCACCTTCCAGCTTCCCACGCTCACCAGCATTAGACAAGGGTGGGGAGATGGGAGCTGAAGTCCAGCAAGTGTCTCTCCAGCAACGGAGGACTGAGCTGAGAGAGATGGGCCGGTGGCTGGATTCTCCAAAGGCATCTTTGCTCTGCTTACAGTCTGGGTGCATTTGCTCTCCGCTGCAGCCCTCAGGAAATTCCGTTTCCCTGGCCTTTTGGATCTGCGTGACTGCAAGGCCCTCGCCGGCTCAGCGTCTGATAGGGAGCTGAAAGACGGCCCCGTTGCTTTCTTCCACAGGTTACCATGGTGACAGAGGGAGCCGAACCCCCCTGCGGAGAGTCTGCTCCGACCCTTCGATGCTCAACCAGCTGCCACAATGGAAGCTCCGATAACTGGCCAAGCTCCCCCACCCCCTGCCCTGTGCACATATTTCACCAGCATGGTGATTTGAAAAAAAACCCAAAACCTCACCTTTGCCACAGAGCAGTCGCTGAGGAGAAAGCATTCTGGACAATATGATGTATGCAACACATGAACACAGGTTGTTTCATAGCTTGATGCACACAGAGCATGAGGTACCCCGATCTGCACGTTAAATGATAAAAGGCATTTTTCATCTTATGGCAGACAAAACGTCTCCTCATCACGGTTTATGTTTACTGGAAGAAAAGGAAATCTTGCCTGGTTTTAAGGAAATCTTGATGTATTTTTACTTCAAAAAGAACGAAAACCAGCAACAGCATGGCAGCTTTCCCCCTTACTAATCTCTCCATTCTCTGTGCTTTCAGTTCTCACCAACAGTTCCCCAGCATTGCTGACACATCAACGGAGCTCGGACAGAGTCAAACTGAAGCAACCAGAGCCTGTCCGAGGGCAGAAAGTGCAGGCGGGCAGCACACAGGCCCACCTGGATTGGGGTGTGTGTGCTCTGTCACCCCCTTTAAGTCCTTGAGGAAAGAAAATCATTCCTGTAAAACAAGCCTGTGGCTTCTGTGCCTCATTTAGCACGTCATCCTTCCCCACTGCCTGGAAACGACAACCGGTGTCAAGCGAGTGCAAGGAAATGCATCAATTCGTTGCTCGTGAGCAACCTTCCTTGGGGTGGTTTGGCTTCCTAGCACAATCCCAGGTGCTGCTGCCGAGACTCACCTAACAGCTAAAGACTCAACTAATTTCTGAGGAACTGTCCAAGCATGACGACCTGCAGGAGAAAGCCACGGAATGGAACAATACGCCGTGGCCAACTCGGTGCTGAAGAATTTGCCGTGGCCAACTTGCTATGGGACAACTTTCTCAAGTGGCTGGGAGGAGAGGGGAGGAGCGTGAGGAGGGCCCGGGCGTGGTGATTCAGCCAGTTTGCCGAACTGCACACAAAGTTAACCGGCTTAGCCGATCCAGTGACAACCGGCTGAATCCAACCACTGCATAGGATCTTGGACAAAAAAAATGTTTTTTCTAAGATGTTGGCAGTGGCATTTCCCCCACCCCCACTTTAGTGTCACCAGTTAATTTTAATTTTATCCCCTCAGTCATTTGTGAAAATGTTGAAGAACACTGAGCCCATTGTATACATCTGGGTGCAGTGTGTGTGTGGAGTGTATGAGGGGTGATGAAAGATGTCTTAGGACAGAACTTAGGCCAGAGGTCTTCAAACTTGGCAACTTGAAGACTTGTGGACTTCAACTCCCAGAATTCTCCAGTCAGCTATGCTATGAGCTGGAGAATTTAGCTATAAGCTGGAGAATTCTGGGAGTTGAAGTCCACAAGTCTTCAAGTTGCCAAGTTTGAAGACCTCTGCCTTAGGCCTTCCCACCTGTGTGCAAAGAGATCCCCACTTGTGCTCTGCAGCGCTGACCTGATGATCGACGAGGTAGATAAACCTCAAAGTCCTTTTAGGTTTTTTTTGAGCCTGCCACATCTGCAACCACCAGTGTGTAAAAAGCAGCATCTACTCAATCTAGAACTAGAAATCACTCTGGATCCATTCTTTAGGCCACCAGAGGAAAAGGGATTTTCCAAATGCAGAGCACAGGAAAGTGTTGGTCTTCTCATCCCATGTTCTCCCTGCATCCCTTCTGCTCTCCTCCTTTTACTGTCACAGC